CGATTCAACCACCATTAGATTCCTCTCAACGAGCTCTACAACTTCAATTAGAAGCTCAAAGGTGGTTAACTTAGTACAAAAAAAGTTTTAGAATGATGCAGCCCACATTCGCAAAACCCTAATTTCTATAAGTAAACCGCGTCACGTTACACTATGACTTCTCACTGGCTGACTGGCGAATCACCAATTAAAAATAAAATAAAACTATTTTGGTATAATTTTGTTAGCTAGTTTGGTGTAGTTCTCTAATATAGACAAAAAGTCTTAACTGGTATGACAGACCACTCTTGAACATTCTTTGGAACAGCTAAGAAATAGTTTAATATATATAAATATATGCTTTGATCTAATAAAAATATTAGCAAGTTTGTTGATAGTTAAAAAAAATATATATAATATAAAAAGTTTTTTATATTTTTATTTTTGTTAAAATAATTATTTAAAACTATCATTGTTTTCAGAATAATATTATTTAAAAGTATTATATTTCAAAAATCTATAGCTAACTTATATCAAAAATACTAAACAAAAATATTTAGAAACTTCAAAATCTAACTTTAACTAAAATTTAAACCTTTATATCTAATCTATATTTTTTTCTAAAACTAAAATTTTAAATTTTAATAAAAATTAGAGATAATAATATTATTACTGGTTAAAAATAATTATAATTATTTTTAAAATTAAAATATATTTATATATTTTTATTTAATTTTTAAAGTTTATATTGATGTTTTTAATATTAAAAAACAAATCTAATTTTAGATAGTCTTGATTTTTTATTACTAAATTTTAGATAGTTTTAACTTTCTATTACTAAAAACAAAGCTAATTTTGGGCCTTTCTAATATTGTTTAAATAAGTATATATAACAATAATCTGTGTAAATCTATTAATATAAATATCTTGTAACTAACCATTTATATAACTATTGCTTCAACGAGTAATACATAAAAATTAATTTTACGTAGAAAGGCCCTTTAATAATTTTAATATAATCATTAATACCTTCTTTTGGCAAAAAATTTAAATAAAGATATTATTGTTTTTATTTAATTCTAATTTTGTTATAACAGACTTATCATTAAACTGCGGCACATATGTGCATGTACAAAAAACGTAATCACATATGCACATATATGTATATCTCATATTTCCGTTCACTCTATTTGCGGGCCAACAAAAGTACAATGTTTTAGGTCTATGCAGGCACTAACTCAAAGCATACTTTGTATAATGTACAAGTCACTCTCGTTATAGTGAAGATTGGTTTACAGTGAAGAATTTGTTTAGAACCCAAATCATTATAATTAGTAAACTCTCGATATAAGATATATGAAGTTTTTTCTAAAACGGATATAACAAAATGTCTCGCGTTATAGTGAAGATTTGTGTAACACTTGTTAATTAAATTTTGGGAACATAACGATAAATTTATTATTTCTCTCGATATGAAGATTTATACGACTTCACTATATCGAAATCTCAATATAGTGAATCTCTCGGTATAGTGAAGAAATTTTCACGAACTTCACTATAACGAGAGTGGCTTGTATTATAATAATCGTCACTACATTAAATCTTAATAATTTTAATATCAACAAGCAATAATCAATGTTTGTGGTTTGTATTGTAAATCCGACCAATATAGGTGACAATTTTATATCATGATTTTATTGTATTTATTGTAGTGATGCGAACCGCTCTCCAATCTTGCAACACTAACAGATTATATACACAAGTTATCGTTATAGTTTGAATTATTAACAATACATATAATAATAAAATAAGGGAAATATAAATAAAATAAAATATAAATGTATACACATAAATGAACATTAATCTACGTTATCGACATGTTCTAGGTCATCAACGGTATCATCGACATCGTTTTTAACTGACATAGGCAGGCTTTCATCAGTACAAACAGAAGATTCATGAATACATTCTGGGTCCGATTCATGCAAAACAATGACAATGGGTTCTATTACCGTCTGCTTGTTAACAGAAGAACTAAGATTTTTTTAAATAGTGTATTAATTAGAATCACGCACGATTCATAGCATGATTTTTGAGTGAAATAATGAATACCTCTCTTTTTGGATTGGTTCTTGAGTCGGGTTTTGAGTAGGTTCCGGTTCCTGAGTTGTTCCTGTAGGTTCCTGAGTTGTTCCTGTAGGTTCCTGAGTTGTTTCCGTAAGTTCCTGAGTTGTTTCCGTAGGTTCCTGAGTTGTTTCCGTAGGTTCCTGAGTTGTTTGAGGAAGTTCCTGAGTTGTTTGAGGAAGTTCCTGAATTGTTTGAAATGGTTGTCCCTGAGGTTGTTGTCCCTGAGGTGGTTGTCCCTGAAGTGGTTGCCCCAGAGGTTGAATTCCCGTCATAAATGGCATTGGCTGAAATCCCATACAGTTACCAAACTTGTGAAAATAATCCGAAGGACACTTTTGACACCCGCCATGGTAGAAAAAAGACGCTTCGCATGGCGTCGAATCAAACGGCAGCATCATATTACGTCGTTGTTCTTTCATAGACTGGTCGGCTTGGTCATTTTGACCACCCTGCGGTAAAGCTTGTGTTATGGTGGCAATAGCTAAAGAAGCAATCAAGATGAGGCAGGTAAAATCGACTTTCATCATGTATAATAAAATCGTTGGATATTTTGATATCAACTGTTTTTTTTTTGATATTTACAAGTAAAATCGAACACTTTATATTAAAAATACTTTACACGCAAATGCATTTTCAATCCTATGTTCGCAAATAAATACATTTAACATAATCATTTTATTGCATCAATTTCTTGGAATTTTTATCTATTAATTCAAATTTCAATTTATTGTATTATATCATAAACCAAAATTACGCGTATTACCATAGTAATTTAATTTATATTTTGACGTTTACAATTAACAAATTTTTCGTAATTACTAAAAGTAATAATGTGATGTACAATCCGACTCAATTCGTAAGCTTGAAATAAACCAAGCTTGCATTTAGAACAAATAACCATTTGTACGACTAGAATATTTTATAAAATTGCCTTTTATTTAAATTAATATATGTACTATATTATATATAGCTATAAACCGTTTTTCTACGTACGCACGTACGTACGTATGTACGTACGTACGTATATAGAATGCAATTTAATATAGTTTAATATAGTGCTACAGACCCATAGCGCTAGGACACTGTGGTGATAAATTTTTATTTTTATTACAGTACATAGACTTTGAAACACAACATTTCACTTCACGTGGTCAATCAAACATGCCTTTTGGTTTTTTTTTGCTCTCTATGTTCATCTAAAATTGAATTAGAACGATATGTTGAACCAGATTCGACCTGCTGTCACTATGTGAATATAAAGTTATATTAGCGAGTTTGTTGAGAATTACGAGAGCCACTATCGTTTCTCAAATTAAATCTAAGATAGCTTTAAATCGGCCTAACCTTAAATATTGTGAAAGTAATTTCCAAGAAAATAGTAAGAACCAATTCTGGAAAACAAGTGAGACCTTTTAGTATTCTCAAACTATTACGTAAAAGAGCTTTTAGTTGAATAATTTAGTTAAATAAAATATTATTAATTTTAAAAATTATGCCGATACGTATTAATAATATTTCCAAAACAGTAATATACTGTATAATATACGTATTGTATATAGTTTTAGTTATACAGTCGCACCTTCCTAAGTGCATCCCATCGGGACCATAGTGAAAAAAATTAAAATTTTGCACTTAGAGGAGGTTTGCACTTATAGAGAATAAAATACATAGGGTTCTTATAAGTTGGCCAAACTGTATCGTGCATTTAGAGAGGTTTTACATAGTACTTGCACTTAGGGGATGTGCACTTAGAGGGGTGCGACTGTAATTGTAAAATATACTTAAATACTGTATTAAAAATATATAACAAACATTATTATTACTATTAAAATTATTACTATTATACAACAAACATTATTACGTATTACTATTAAAATTATTACTATTATACGTGTACTATATTTTACGTATAATTTAAAATAATAAAGGTTATAATTTTTTAATATTTTTTTTTTTAAATTACATTATATATTTTTTAGCTATATATTGCAGTATCTAATCTTTTTTTATAAATATTACAAAATTTAATACTGTATTTTTTTTAACAGTATTTAAAAAATTTTATCTAAAATTACTTATAATTTAAAAAATAATTTACAATATTGAACAAAAATTTATATTTGTTAATTATAATTAACAAATAGTTTAAAATTTTTAAAATTTTTAAAAGTTTTGCATATAAACTTCTTTTATAATCTAATTAAAATTTTATAATTTTAATATAATTCAAGCTATATTAATTTAAACAAATTTTAACAATTTATCTACCAACTTTTATTATGAGTTTATTCTATAATAATTAAAAAAATATACTGTATAATTAATTAAAAACCACTATTACTATATATATAAATTCAACCTTTTACATAATATAAATCTGGTTTTTAAAAATTATTTGTAAAAATCCATTAACTTTTTTAAAAAAAAATTCTTTTTTATATATAAAATATAAATATTTTAAAACAAAAATTAAAATCTTTTTACAACCTTTACAGAATCGAGAAAAAACTCAATACATTCTACTTTATATAACATATATATATATGTATATATATAAATAAATACTTTAAAAAAAATAGTTACAAAGAGAAAATAGTATTACAAAACAATCCCGCATGCTCTCAAAGTCTGATTTCAAACTATAACCAACTTTATAAATTGCCCTTTGAATAGTTTTCGTTTCGAACGAATCAACTGTTCATTGTAATACTTAAATTAAAATACCCAAAGATTGTGTAAATACTGTATGGATGAAAGTGATTAATGTCGTAAAATGTTACATCGGAAATAATGGCATAATGGGAAAATAGTAAATGTGAAAGGAAGGGAAGCAAAAAAATATTAGTAATTCTTAATTATAGAAAAGGTATCGCGCAATAGTTTGAAATTAACTTTACAAAAGCAAAGGAATTCTTTTTTTTCGAAAGCATTATAAAATTAGAAATAAGGTGTAGAAAATAAGTTTAAAACCTTAGCCATAAATGAAAACCTTAAATAATCCTCTGATTAAACAACAAAATATCCAATGACAAAGTTTGAACCAAATTCAAAAAAAAAAAACTCACAAAGCCCCGTTTACTGTTTTGTCATTAATAATAACTTTGTTCTGTTGTGTATGCCATTCTAAAGATATAAGTATATGTGATAAGTTATGAACACAAGATTACAATCCTGTTATTCTGTAAGAGCTTCAGTGAATATATTTTTAGCGGCTACAACATATTTATCATTACTTCTAGTAAGTCTTTTAACGCAAGCCAAAGTACTTGGCAAAGTCATAAATAACCAAGCGCTAACAGGTAACCAAGCATAATCCATGTAATTTTTCCACGTCCGTGTTTCATTAACACCTTTCTTAAATAGTTCGGCATCTACCGTCCTATGTAATCCTTCGTATAGCATTGCGCACAAGAGTAAAGGCATAGGTAATAATACGCTCACCGCCTGTACTAGAGAAAACATATATGCATAAAACTCTGAAGTAATAATTGGATTTTGGAAATTTGGATAATAACTAGATATGGGTGAATACGTGGATATCAACAAAAATTGTGTTATAGGTACCGCAGCAAACATTAACCAACCAGACGTGCATGGAATCATGTGAGCTTCAAGGACATGGAGAACCACAACTAACTTGTCAAAAAACGAACAGGACATAAGACAGGACGGTCGTTTTCCAGAAGAGGGAGTATAAACTGGCATTAAAGTAGAACTCAAAAGAAGTGATTCAGTATCAGTGGTAGAATGTTGTTCACCACTGAAGGCGGATTTCAATGAATAAGCAACGTCGGCAACACCATTATAATGACGCTTAGCCTGAACAAAGCGAGCATAAATATTTGAAAAATAACCGGTAGTTTGAACGTTGGTAAGATTTATCGGAACAAATATAGGAACAGATCTAGCAACACCACCAGTTTTGAAAAAGCATTTAAGCCACATATGTAGATCTTCGCCAACAGCATCCTTATCGGTATCCCAGAAACCAACTTGCTCAGCAAGAACCTTATTAATAAAAATGTTAATGAAAATTGGTTAAATTTAAACGAAAAAAAAGAAGAATAATGATACAAATTTGAAAGTTTTGATTTATTATTATTATTATTATTTTTACCATGCTTAAACTATACGTAGAACAAGGGAATGCTAATCCTCTAGGATTACTTAAATTTTGCATGACCATGATAGACCACATGATATCAGTAACACGCACAGCAGCAGGGACGTCCAATGCATTTCTCGAAAAGAAAATTGGGGGAGAACAAATAGTACTATAAGGATCTTCTGATTCTGATAATGCCTTTTCAATTTGACGAACATAAAGTTCCGGAATTGCAGAATCCGAATCCGTGATTGTAAACACTACGTGCCGTTTGTCGACTTTTCGTGCCAAAATTTCACATGCCTCACGAGCTGCATATGCGACGTTGCTACCCTTGCCTCGACTTTCACCTGGGACATCTTTCGGATGAACCGTTATAATAAAGTCACGGAAAGAGCCATCGAAAGTTCTCTTAAGGCTTGCAGCCTTTGAAGCATGATCAGTCTCAGACTCTTCCATTGCCAATATGATAACATAAGCCGTGGTAGCGTTCCTTATAAATCGGAGATGATTAATGGTTAAAAATAATGATTATATAGAAACATGATTAATAAGAAATCGAATGAGGTGTCGATATACTTATTTTTTTTTTTTTCTTTTTTTTTTTTTTTTCCTTTTAGTTTTAAAAAAAAATTTTTTAAAAAAAATTTTCAAGATGCCCTACCTTTGTTGAGCCAATCTTTTGATAGTGTCTCTCAATAACGGCTCTGGTTCCTCATAATTTGGAATAACGAAAGCATGAATATAATGTCCTTCATATTTAAGCGCACTTTCCATCTCGCTGTATTTATTGTCATCATCATTCATAGATATAGATGTATAACCGTTTCTCGTTGGAGTTATCCTTCCATTATTGGTAGCGGTACTTTTAACCACTTCCTTAGAATCATAATCTCGTGAAGAAGATTGTTGTTCTTGTTTTGAATTCCAATCTCTAATGTTCTTTTTGATGTTCCGTACAGTTAAACAAAATTTTAGAAAATGGTTTACAGAAATATATAAAAAAGTTGTGAAGTAAGCCAACAAAAACCAAATATAAACACGTGGGAAGAATACAGGCCCTATAAGAAGAACAAAAACGGCACCGATAGCAGTAGTAGGAGCAACTAACTCGAAAATATAATGATGTATTCCCATTACTATGAAGTGTATGATTATATAAAAGATGTCTGTCTATGTGGCTTTTTTTTTTTTTTTTTTTTTTTTTAAAAAATTTTTAAATAATTAAATATTAATAAAAAAAAAAAGTGATAACCTCCCAAAAATATTATACCGTTAAGAATTAGTGTTAATGAAAACGAGACGCGAGATTACAAATTGCAATTCATATGAACTATATGCGAACAAAATATCCAGCATAAAACCATCAGCAAATTTATTTGAAGTCGCAAAGATAGTAGACCGAAAATACGTCATATAAAGTTAAAACAGTCTGTAAAAAAAATTAAAGAATGATTTATTTGAATCAACCAAAATCGAAAAGATATTAAACGGGATGAGTAGACTTACCACTTCTTTATTTTTTTTTTACGTTATTCCTTATATTAACATAAAATTTTTTTAGAACGCAAAGCCAAAAGAACCATGGAAATGCCAATAAAGGTTATTCGGAGCACCAGAAAGTATTGGACACTTTGACGTTTCTAAGGTCGAAATGTCAAAAGACAAATAATCGTATGACGGAAATAACACAGGCAAAAGTAGGAAGGGTAAAGAAAGGAAATATGGTTATGTAAACAAGCACAAATAATACAAAAGTACTGGGTAACAAAATTGAGAAAAACCTTATAGACAGTAGGGTTCGGTCACTATAAAAAACTGAGACAGTTCTGATGCGACTGATATTGAAGTTCTAATCGCATCAATACCAAATAAAGCGAGCAAGCTACACTAGCAAAAATGTCATCATCCAATGAAACATCTATGCTGTAATCGAATTGCTAACAAAAGTTTAGCCACCAAAAGTCTTTACTCGTTTTTTTTTTTGATTACACTAAGTCAAGAAATGATAATCATATACGTATATCGTTATTGAATTAATATACATTGGTTAATTTAGTTATTTTATTTATACGTATAAATAATGATATTATCCTGTATGCATTTCTGTGAGACAGTCCAAGCCGTCAAATTCCGCGCACACTAAACTACGTAACTCTTGCGAAAAGTCGTGATGAATTCATCATCTAGCCATCTAGCCATCTAGCCGTTAAGGTGTGACAGATTAAAAATTCGGCAATCGATTTCAATTTTACGCCGCGCATTTAATTGTTCTTTTATTTGTATGTATTGGGTAAATTTTGTTTATTTTCATTTTGTTATCAAATTTTTATTTATTTATTTATTATTATTTTTTTGCCGTTTCTGTGTGCCTTTGTATTGGCTGTGCTTATCGATGGTGATTACAGAGGCTAGATGGGCTAGATGGCCGAGTCGTACATTATTATGTGGCTTACGTATTTGAAATTTTTGATGAAGATGGAAGGATAAAATAGGATCTTACAAGGCACAAGCTAGTCACAGGATAGGTAAATAGTAAGTAAATGTACAATTTAATAAACATTATGACTCATTTCCTTAACATTGCTAGCGAATATCCATTCGGCTACTGAAAAGCTCCGAGTCCATTATGAATGTGCTACCTAATTTAATTACACACAATGGTGAAATACGTGATCCTCAACAGTGTGACGACCATCACCTGTGATAATTAATCATCGAGGATTCTCGTAATTTCGTTTGTTAATAATTTTCATGTAAAGTTAGTGTCTTTTCTCGTGGCACGATTGAGATTACGGAACAGGCTTGTGTGTAACATTATAAGTATGTTTGCAGAAATTAATCTTGGAGCTGAAACTCTGGATCTGTTGATATTTACTTATTTGGTTTCTCAACAAATTTATCGAATCACGGCTGTAGGTGAAGATTAGATTACTAATCGGTAACTTTTCCCGAACTCCCGTTTAAATTGACCTAGAAATAGTAAAGAGTCTCGATTTTCAAAGTGCAGGTTCAACACCAATAATGCATATCCACTACTCTGCGCGTTGATATCACTTATTTGCTAATTGAGTACGTATGCACATAATATGAACTACTAAAAATACCTATGGATTTTTTCATATTGTTATGGAAAAGTGTATAATATTTTCCCGACAAAAATTTGGATTAGCCATAATTCATTATGTTTACATTTTCAATATCAAGCGTGATACGTGATATAATGCAGCTATGATCATATTAATTAATTATTAATTGTGTTAAGGGTTAATTTATAGATTGGATTCATCGAGAAAATCACTAGAGATTATTAGGTTACCCGGATTGTCTGGTAAATTATATATTTCGGGTTAACAATCTTATACGTACGTACGTAATTAATGAATTATCAAATTCCTTTAAATTTTGCAAAGAAATTCAATCATTAAATTTATCTGGAAACTATAGTTTTTAACCTTTAAGCTAATCATTTTTAAATTATAGTTTTTTTAAAATATTTGTCATTTATAATTTATACGAAACCTAAAAAAAGGGTCTTTAATTTTAGCATCGTAGGATGTTAACGTGGTTTTGGATATTCAAGTGGTAACAATCGCGGTTCCTATTAGATCAGAGATTTCTTTATTCAAATATTGAAATTAAACTATAACACTTCGATATCTCTAAAGTTTGAATAATGTAAAAATCGACTCCTAACAAAATTTCATTTCACATGACTGATATCACAATTTATCCTAAAAACTGATTTTTCAAATTAATGCATCAGAAGTGTTTTCTTTATCGACCAATAAAAGATGAGATTAGGGATCGCTAAAAGCGTGGTAAATATTTTAAAGTGACTTCGCGTTCAATATAAATGATATAAATGGCATTTAAATAATTGACTTATACAGTATGTAGATCAACATATTGAATTTACCCTAAAAAATTGGTCTAAAGCCTTATAAGTGTTGCATGCCACGTGAGTTTTAATTACAAATCGATTAGTAATCAATTTAAAAAATGCGACCTCTAAGGCAGGACGTCTAAAATTTTAACCATGTAATCGTGGATAAGATCTATTACGTTACGTATTATTTATGATCCGTAGAGAATGTACATTGTTTGATTTGTTAGGTTTTTATCATCATAAAATTGTAATCCTTAAATTGGTTAAGTGATAAGATTATACATGCCGACGGAATTATTTTGGGGTCTAAACTGGATAACAGTCTTATAAGACTGTTATCCAGTTGCATTATAATGTTATCTAGTTAGGACGATATAGTCTAGAATTTTATAATGTTATCTAGTTAGGACGATATAGTCTAGAATTTTATAATAGATTATGTCCGCCCCAAGTAGATTATAATCTGTGATACCGTCCTCAGGTATGTGGCCGGTTACATAGTTTCTCTTTTCCAGGTTGCCTGACTAATTAGGAGAGAAGATGCGCGATTCTACCTTTCTTGGCCTGTTTGGAGACCATCTTAAATGCCGTCTTGGGTGCCAAATTCTATATTGAGGCACTTACCTTTTTGCACCTATTCGGTTGTCTGTCAAAATATCAAAATGTGGTAAAAAAAATATTGTGTCAGGTAGCACAGTAAATCTGTATTTAAATTTGCCCAGCACTATAGCATAATTCTGGCTGATCTTTAGAACACATATTTTGAGAATCCAACTCAGCACCATAGTAGTGACCTGATAATGTCTAAAACTATCATGATACTAGCAGCGGACTAGTAGAGAACCAGAAAGGCTCTATTAGTTCGCCAGTTTTAGATCACTTCTTGGTTGCCGAGTTATTGTGCCCAAAGATCAGGCTAAAATTATAGGCCGATATTATTGTTAATTTACTGCGCCTTCAGTTTTTGGCACCTTTCTTTGGTTAGTCAATTAGAGGTATAATGCGACAATACTAGCTGTCCCTATGTGTTTCTATAAGAAAAAATTTATAAGAACGTCCTTAGGGACAACTTTGATATCGATTTTGGGATTCTTAGTTTGATTTAATCTATTCTTTATTACTTGTCTCTATGTTCCTATGAGTCCCTATGAAATGTAAAAGTTCTAGAAAAAAAAAATTTGATTTTTATAGTATGTTACTTTTGATAACTGTATATGCTTATAGATATGTTTGATATATAGTTGATGTATACTATAAAAAAAATTAAAAAAAAGTAAAAAAGTTTGAATTTTCACAGAGACTTATAGGGTCATAGGGACAGTAATAAAGATGGCTTTCCAGAGTTTTAAAAATACTAGTTTGCTATCTTGAGGCGTCCTTGTTAAGTTTTTTTGCTATTCCTATAAATTTTTCATGGGGTACGGGGATAGTTTTTATAGAGACAAATTTTTTTAATGAGTTGGTGCACTCACTCTAGCTAAAGCATGAACCCTTTGGTTTCTAGGACTGGATCAGGTATTTTTGATCCAAGGATATGCATATTGGATATGATCG